AAAAGTAATTTCTCCTATGCCTAAAGCTGTTAGGTTTGTGCCATGCCCCAGGGTACTGTCTCCCCAGTAAGTCAGTTTAAGAAGTTGGCTTTGATCTTCAAAGCCCCCTGAAGTGCAGCTGAAATAATGTCTTGTCCTTTGTGACCTGCCCAAGAGAACTGTTTTGTTCTGGACTTGACTGAGATGGGCACACACAGCTCCTGTGGCAGCTGGGTTTGCTGCTTTGGACCTTCCATAGCAGATTGCACTCCTCAACTGTGCTTTGGCATCTGATCTTCTCACACGTGGAAAAAAATATGCCTAACCAAGGGAAGCTGAGTGAGTAAAGTCCAGGTTGTAGAACTGGAACAAGTTTCCTGGACAGGTGGTTGATGTCCCAAGCCTGTCAGTGTTTAAGAGGCATTTGGACAATGTGCTTAATAACATGCTTCAACTCTTGGTTGGCCCTGAATTGGTCAGGCAGTTGGACTAGATGATCATTGTAGGTCACTTCCAATTAAAATTTCTATTGTGTTCTACTGGAGTGACTGTGAAAAGCAGAAGCAGAGAGGATGTGAGTACGGCTGAAGTATTGCAGTGATACTGAAGTCTCAGCCAGGACTGGGAATCAGCTGGGCCAGGCACCAAACGCGTCCACAGAAGTGGGCAGCTGGCAGTTGAAATAAGTTGGGCTTGTACAGTGAGAGGAAGAAGTTTATGAGGTCAAGAGCAAAGTGGAGCTTCCTCCACCCTTCCAGTGTCCTGATTTCTAGTTCAGTATTTTATGCTGTAGGTAAAAGAAGTGGGGCAATTGGATGCATTCACCTCCAGACTTGGTAGAAGTTGCTTTGCTGTTCTTGCTGCTCCATTACTGCAAGGTAACGAGATGGGCACGCTCTGTCTGCTGCTGCTGCTGCTCTTCATCCTCCTTGCTCTTCTGCTAATGACCTGTCTTGGAAAGTTTCATTCTTTCGCTAGCAATTAGGAATTGCATGGTTCAGTCATCCCTGTGCAGCAATTACTTCTGTACTGCAGTAACGTATGGGATGTTCAAACAGCGTGTGAGCCTGCTTGCATCATTCAGTTGTGCAGTTTGGAAATACGCAGAAAGCCATCAGAGTGCTGCAAGCATAACAGACTCCTGCTGCATATTCCTGCCCACTGAACAGTTACGTAGGGACCTAACTATGTCTTGGTGGTTGGTCAGATTGGTTTTTGGGATTTTTTTGAGTGATTTTTTTGTTTTGTTGTGTTTTTTTTTTACAAAAGACCTTACTGCTTTTATGGTATCGTGGCATCTGTGGCCACTTGTCTTTCTGTGCTGTAGTCCACTGCCCTCTGACTTTTGCAGATCAAGTTGAAGAGTCGTGCTATCAGCTGACTGATATCAGCTATCAGCTGAATCCCTGACCTTTTAGGACACACAAAATGCCCCAGCACACACACACTCGGCAGTTCTCCTCTCCAGGGGTGGCGAGAAAATACTGGCCTTTGTGCTCCTAATGGTGTCATTAATCCCTTCAGGATTCCCAGGGCTCGGAGAATAGAAAAAGGAGCAGCAGGATGAACTCAGTTTTGCTTATGACTGGTGTTTGAAGGCAATGCTGAAGGCTGGCTGTGCAGTATCGTAGCTGTTCACTAGAGGACAGTATTACACATAGCAAAGTGTAATTATAATGGAACCATGCTGGAAGAGATTCCTTACAGATTTTGTGTGTGCTGGAAATAGGTTGGGGTTGAGGTTACAAAGTAATTTGCCAGAACTCGGGAGCCATCCAGTCAAGGTGCTTTAATAGGCAGCACGGTGTAAATCACTGTCTACAGACCCTATCTTGTAAAATCTCTGAAGGGCAATGCTGACTGCCTTGCTTCTGTCTGCCCTTTGTGGGAGTAGAAACTGCTGAGTAGGTAAGACAGGGAGATAAGGAAGGGTGTCCAAGGAAAAAAAGGCGATTTTTGCATATCAAAACTCTCTAGTGGGTGGCGTGGTGCACAGTGGTGAAGGCAGGGGATGAAAGCAAAGGGTGCAGGGGGCCCTGAGCAGAGGTGCTGTAGGATGAGTATGAACTGGGTGATGGGTCTGGCAGGAGGAAGAAAATAAAGGGTGGTTGGAATAAATACTGCTCAAAGTGCAGCTGCTTGTGTCTGCTCTGATAGCAGAGCTTTCAGCAGAGGGCAGGACTGCTGCTTTATTCTATCGCTGTTGTGTCAGCCATCCCTTCGTGCAAGGGCCAGAAGCTCCCACGTAGAGCAGGGCGTGTGAAATGAAAGATAAGGAGGCTGGGTTATGCAAAAGGAAGTGAGCTTCAGCTTTTTGACCATCTTTATGCAAGTGGGGATCTTGGCAGTTGATGTGCAGTGCCATGCAGCCTCTGGGGACAGCTGCTAGCTTGGTTGCAGCTCTTTATGTTTTGGGGTTATTTGGGTGGGCTTTTTTTTCCTTTTGTTTTAATTTATTGATTCATCCCTTAGGGAAAGCTGGCCTTGAGTGACAAGCAAGTAAAACTGGCGGGATTCTTGCTTAATTTAGGTTTGTTGATTGGACAAAGCTGTTGAATGTCCACGTCTGAAAGAATGCAGGACAGGAGCAGCCTTTCCATGAGGCCCTGGTTCTGGCAGGAAGCAGACGTGGCTCACAAAGTGATGATGGTAACGCTGGTCAATACCAGATGGGCCACTGGAACCAGTAGCTGTGACTGCCTGATCTCACCTGCAGTCCCTCTGCTCTTGGCAGTACCAGGTTGCAAAGCTCATCTCACCTTTCCCTTCTTCACTTCAGGCCTCTTCAGTGAATGCTTTCTGTGTTGCAGGGGGTTGGAGGACTGTAGCACTTCTGAGCAACATCAGTGCTCTTTATCCTTTCCACAGCTGCTCCTAAGTTAAGCGGCCCTGAAACTGCTCTGGCCTGGCAGAAGGGATCAGATAAAAGCAGAAAAAACGTTTAACTCCTCACTGCAGCCTCCTGTGCTCCCATGGCCTTTCCCGACACGAGCCTAGGCTTTAGGGTTTGTTCCTAAGCTGCTTACGAGAAGAGCACAGAGAACAAAACCCACCCAGCAGCGCCTGGCATTTCACTGCTATTTATGCCAAATCCCAGCCTGTTGCTGATGTCCCTGAACACTTCCAACTCAGCCTTTGGGGTTGGGGCAGACCCTGTCATCTGCTGCTTTACTGCTTGGATGTTACAGCATTCTCTGAGTGGGGAGGTCTTGGCGTTGCTGCCTTGGCTGAGCCTGGAGTACCCCAGTTCTTTGTCAGCTGGCTGCCCAAGAAGCACGTGTCACTTTGACATGCATGGAGAGGAAGCTTAATACCCTGAGCATGGCTTGGTTATGAGGCTGGAGGTGATGGATTCCCATGTCCTCAGTCTCAGCCCTGACACTGAGCAGCCACAGCGATGGATAAGCCACCTCAGTTTGCTGCCCTAACGAAACGCAGCCAACAGTCTTAGTGTGGATAGTCAATTCCTGAGAAGTACAGTGCCTTACAAAATATGTTAGTAAATGCAGAAAACTTGATAGTAGCTGGAGATGTAGAAGCTCTCTTATTCCCAGTTTGTCAGGTGGATAAACTCTTGAAAAAAAACCCTTTAAAAAAATGTACAAAGGATGTTTGGTTTGTTCAGGGTTCTCTGTTTCCGCAGCAATCATCTCTCTGATAATTGCTGCCATCTTTGGTTTTTATAGCTAGAGCACTTGCTACGGGTCCACTTAATCTCTCCTGCATCATGCCACTGACATTTGAGAATGCCCCTAGGATTCAGCCTTCCTCCCCAGCTGTCCAGTCTGCTTTAAAGTGCTGGCCTTCTCATCAAACTGGGTAAGCCAGGGGTGGGAAAGAAGCAACAAAACCCTGCAGCTGGCTCCCTTTGCACGGTGGGAGTTTCTTTATCCACCCTTCTCAGTGAATCTGCGCTACTTTTGACAGTACCTCGTCCCTCTTGAGCAATGGCAAGTGCCACACCTTAACTTTCATAGGAGACAAGAAGGATGAAATGCAACCATATGGCTGGGAATCCCATTACAGCGAGTGTAGCACACTTATCTCCACTGCTAATTAGTTGTGGGGCTCTGCATTTTTGACTAAAATTAACCTTGCCCATGTCTGTCCTTTGCACGGGCTGTTCTGGTTACCCAGTGCACCTCTGCTGTCCACGTGTAATTTTTCTTCCAAGGTCAGGAACAGGGACTCACTTTTGCCCTTTTTCGCCGTTAACTTTCTGTCACTTCCCTGCAGCTTCATCATTATAATCCCCACCTTACACATCTCATTCTGTGTTCCCAGAGCATCTACAGTAGACCCAAGCCAACCCAGAGAATATTGCAGTTCCTAGGGACTCTTGTGAATGTTTTATTTCGTGTGACTGTGGAATTTCCATCTGCTCTGCTGGTCTGCTTCACTTTTCATGTTGACATTCAGAAGAACCCTTAAGAGAAAGGAAAGAAGTTAAACGTTGGCCAGTGCCGCAAGTGGCCCCAGAAATGGAGCCTGTAACAGAGCAAGGAGTAAGTTTATTTGACGTGATGTTTGGCCCGTCGCATGAAGGGGGCAGTCTGATTGTAGCCAAAGCCCAAGCTGTTCCGTAACCACATCTGCTGAAATCGTTTGAGTGTCAGCTGGCAATGCCTGCACTTTGTCAAAGAACATTTAAGGAAGTTCAGTTGCGGAAGCGCTACAAACGCTTCACAAGGACTACTCTGAGGAGTAGGTCCCTCCTGGTGAGCTGCTCATGCGGGCGTCTCAACCCATCGCAAGCTTTCCTCTAGGTGACCTTGGGCTCAGCTTCTCCTGCTCGCTTGGAGAGCTGTTGATTTACAATGCAGATTCATCGGTCCTCGCCTGCCTGCCCCTCCTAAATTTGGCTGGGATATAAGAGGCTGTTTGCTTTCTGATGCCAACAGTGGCAATGGCAGAGAGCCCTGCCATGTGAGAGACAGAGATAGGGGAGCGGGGGCCAAGGAGGAGCAAACTGTGTAGCTGCTATTGCTTCTGGTCGCTGAGGAGCACATCTGTGGGGCAGAATGTCAGTGCTGACCCCTGTCCTGCAGCCCCCGGAGGTGAAGGAATACCTGTCCAAGGGCGAGCGCTTCATCAAATGGGATGATGTGAGTACCAGGGTTTTTGCTTTGATAGGTTGTATGGTGGCGGGGCAGATAGTGTGTTTTGGTTAGGGTTTGTGGGGAATGTTCAGTAGTTGGGATGGGACATTGTGTGTTGTACCTGAGAGCAGCGATGTCTGGATAGGGAGGGTGAACTGAGAACAGGAGGGCTGAGGGCGAAAAGCAAAGGGCATGTGTGTTAGTGGTTGGTGATGTGGCTTCTGTACCTCTTGTTACTGTGGAGGCTGGAAGCATCTGGAGTGTGCCACTGGGTCTGTGTGCACAGCGTCTCCACTGAAGGACCCTGGGGTCCTGTCTGTGGTAGTGAATCAGCCCTCAGGAAGACGGTCACCGCTGGGAGCCTCCTTGGCATGAGGGGCACACGCTGCAGTCAAACATGTCCAAAGGAGCATGACGGGTAGGATTTACTCCAAACCTGAGCAGACTCTCCATGCTTTGCGGATAGAGAGGAAATCAGGCTCCAAGTTGCTTCCTCTTATGGCCCTGTTGCTGGAGTGGATCAGAGAGTGAGCCATGTCCTTCCATGCCTGCCTGGCCTGTGGGTCTGTGAGCTACCGGGTGTGCAGTGGCTGAGCAGCAAGGTGCCTGTGCTTCAACAGTGCCAGAGCCTCAGAGGGTGCTGCAAAAAGCTGCTTCTCTCCCCAGCTCGGTGTCCTTTTTGTTGATAAAACGGGGGGCAAGCCAGGTTCTGATTATTCACCAAGATCTGGGGGAGACATTTGATGTGGTATTGCAAATGAGGCTCATCAGAAGGAGCCTCCAGCAGCAATGCAGGAGGGATTAGTGCTTGCTTTTGTGGGCGTAAAGCTGGAATAGAGTTTTAAGTCCCAAGGCAGTGTGTGCGGGGGAGGGAGATCACTTCTGCGCAGCATAAGCAGCAGTGGTCCAGCAGCACTGGGAAATGAGAAAGCAATGTAAGGTACAGCTGACAGAAAGGATGGATGCTGAGGAATACAGGTGGGAATATCACTGGGCAGTTACTCCACCAGCTGTACATAAACAGGAGGATGATGCCAGTGCATGGTGGAAAGCACAGCCTTTCTTTTCAATGGGGCCACTGCCTGCAGAATGCACTGGTGGCTTTGGATTTGAACAGGGATTTGGTTTCTGAGAACAACAGTAGCCAAGCTTGTCTACAATTGCTGCTGACTTTCTATGCTCAGTCCTTGGGGACCACGTTCCCAAAAACCCGAAGCTGTTAAATACTTCACTGGGAATTCGTGGGATAGTTGGGCTCTCTTGAAACCCAAGGTGAGATTGATAGGTTGGGTTTCCAAGACCCACCAAGTGTTTATTTGCTGCTGCAACTTGGGTTAGCGAGCCCAAGTCCTGGGTGAATTTGTCCCTAAAGTTAAAAGACTTGTAAACCTTCCTAAAAGGTTACTTCTAATTACCGAGTGGTTTTTACAGACTTGACCTTCAGCAATAATGAAAGCCTTCTCCACAAGTGAGCTGTTCTGGTCACGTTGCTCCATCTCATTGTGCTTTCCCACTCCACAGTTAGAGCAGAATGCCCAGGACGATGGCAAGAGCTCCAGGCTGCAGGGTTACTGCTCTCTAGGGGTCATGGGCCTGCGCTCCTATGTCTTATACTTTGAATTGAGTTTTGAACTCCTTCCACAATATTTGAGGCAAAGGAATGAAGTAGATCAGATTGGCTCCTTACCTCACTGTACAGTCTTGAGTGAAACAAAACCACACATTTTCTATGGTGCCTTTACCTTGTTCCCCATACATAACGTCTTCTCTAGAGGAGAAGTTAAGTCCTACTACATGGATGATAGTTTTGTGGGGTTTTTTGTTTTTGTTTTGTTGTTGCTTGGTTTTTTTCCCCCAAAAACCATCTTAGGAACCCTTTCAAAACCTCAGGTAGGGCACAGTGTAGTAGCTGACCTCTTAAACTGAGCAGATACGTGTGGATTTGGCTCTATGCTGACTCTTAGCCCTCTAAGCACAAGCAAAAATGCTTTCTGTCCTGGAAAGATAATGGATTACATACTTGTTTGTCCTCCTAGAGTTGAACTCCCCAGCGTGAACAGCAACCAGTTTGGCTGCCAGACCCCCACCTTCTGTGGAATTCACCATTTCCTTTGTTGCAAGGAGCCAGTCCTTAGGAAAGTCTGCCTGTACCCCATGGCTGTCCACATCACTGATCAGGAGGCGAGCTGCCAGCAGTCCTTCTTGCAGCCTCAGCTAACTTTCAGAAAAGCTGCTTTGTAGGAGATAAGGTTAATCTAGAAACATGGTACAATAGTCGGTATTCGTACTCCAGTGGCTTGTGGCAATGTGTTCAGTGAGCTAACCAAGAGGTCTGGGAACATGGGCATGATGCTGAGCAGATCAGCATTGTCCCTGGTACAGCGTGAGAAAGGCAGTAGTGAGTAAAGGAGAACACGCAATGCACTGTAGCATGGGCAGTTCACTGTGAAGAATACTGACTCTGGAAACGGAGGTCCTTGGAAATACAGATACACTCTGGAGTGAAGTATGAGTTCAGTAACAGACTGAAGAACCCAAGGCCAAGTGACAAATGCAACTTCCAAACTCCATTACTAGTTTAATCTCAGTAGCTGGATATTTCAACTTGCTCAATTAAATTTGAAGCCTTCCTAGAAATGGCTGAGAGGCCTTATGAGGCTGTCTGCTGTGGCACCAGAGGTCAAGTGCAGTCAGGAGTCATCCTGACTCAATGAGCAAATGGGCTGGGGCCCAAGCAGAGGCATGAAGTCTTCTTCGTCTGTGTCTCCAAAGAGCTCACGCCAACTCATCTCTTAGCATGGGCTTGCACGTGAGGTGGGAATGGATGTTGTCTTGAAAACATCCGTGAAGTTGCCTTTAGCTGAAAATGCAGCTGCAGTGTAATTATTCGGAGGCAAAGCGCACAAGCTCACAGCAGCCTGTGTCTCCTTTGCAGTGTATGCCTTGGTTGTGATTGGACACAAACTGGAACACAGGAGGTTCCACTGAAATTGGAGAAGAAACTTCTTCTCAGTGAGGGTGACAGAGCCCTGGCCCAGGCTGCCCAGAGAGGTTGTGGAGTCTCCTTCTCTGCGGACATTCAAAACCCGCCTGGACGCCTTCCTGTGTAACCTCATCTGGGTGTTCCTGCTCCGGCAGGGGGATTGGACTGGATGAGCTTTTGAGGGCCCTTCCAATCCCTGATGTTCTGGGATTCTGTGATATGGAGGGCTGCCCCCCCCTGTTGTATGGGGTTCAGGATCAGCCCCAAATAACTTAATAATTTTGTGTGTGTGTAGTGTGGGTGTTTAAATAGCGGCTTCTTTTTATGGTTTGTGTAGAGCTAGTCCATGGAATTTAAGAATCACCACCTAAAGCAGACTCATCTGCTGTATTAGATCAATCCCTTCTTGAATTCTTCCTGACAAGACCTGTTTTCTGTAGAGAGCCCAGATAACTGGCATGAGCACCTAGACAGCAGATGCCACAGGGGAATGCAGTCTCTACTTGGCCTATGCTCATACTGGAGCTTGTAGAACAAAGTAGGTGCCTTAGAGGGAAGGCAGTTCAAATGAAACAAGTAATTGCACCTACAGGTACTTCTCTTAATTCTTTGCACAGAAAGCTCCAAGAGAGTTGTTCTAGCTAAATGTACAGTGTTAGGTGAAACTCAGGCTTCAGCAGAGATCAGCTTCCATAGCCTCACACTGCTACTTTGGAGAAGTACTAAAGTCATCTGGTTCATTTCCATAAATCACAGAGGATGACTCACCCGACTGGGTCTGTATTTGAATGGGGAACCCTATGTCCCATGGTGGGTTCTCCAAGTCACATAAGGTGCCAAACTTCGTTCTTCTGTGTTGTTTTTTTGTTTTGTTTTCTGCTCAGGAAACAGCCAGTGCTTCTCCTGTGATTCTTCGAGTGGATCCAAAGGGCTTTTACTTATACTGGACCTATCAGAATAAAGTAAGTGCTAAAACTTCACAGCTTGGTCTCCAAATAACCAGTTCAGGTCTGTGCAAGATTGAAACACTGTAAGTGCTTGAGTTCTGCACTCGGCAGCAAACTACCACACTCATTCCACTTAGCAGGAAACCCCCTCCAAAGGACCTGGGAGTCTCATGCTTATTCAATAGCAGATTTGTCTTCAGAGTTCCAGAAGAGAGCGGGAAATTAAGATGCCAGAGAGATGAGCATGGCCATTTTTACTTGTCACGCTGCCATCTTATACCTGTGAAGTTCATTAGATACGCATCAAAGGATTTCACAGAGAACAGCAGTATTGAGATCCCTGTTACCCAGCGTGCTAAAAGATTATTCCAACCACTGCAGAAAGAAAATGGTTGGATGTATGCAATTAAATGTGTGCAGCTTCAGCTAACACATACCTTATACGTAATCTATGTTGTAATTAACTGACTTGGTGGTGTTTTAGAAGTTTTTAATTAAAAAGTAATGACTGCATTGATGGCTACATTAAGTCTGGAGAGAGAGTTGTGTTGCTCTGAGGCCAGAGTGGTGTGTGCACACTGCCAGAGGTAAACTATGGGACGCTGGCTGCTGGAGGAGAGAGAGGGACAACACACTTAGGAAAAGGAATTCAGTTCCTTGCTGATGAGTAACAACAAGAGATGGAGAGATCTGGCTGACTGAAGGTGGAAGGCTGGGCTTACTTCTGCTTTCCAGAGCAGAGCTGTGGTTCAGCTCTACTTCCTCCTCGTGACCTACATGCTGAAGAGGCACGGTAGATGAAAAGACAGAGGCAGTAGTCCTGCACAGCAGCCTGGCTAAGAGACCTGGTGTGTTTTGGTGAGCTCTGCCTCCTCAGAAGGTTGTACCTCAGTGTCAGTGGGGGCAAGGCACTGCCACGCAGCTGTATCCTCCAAGACCACAGCGTTATGGGGTTGGGGACTGTCACATTCCTCTAGATTATGTGCTCTCCTTTCAGCAGTCCCTGTCCCTCTCATTCCCATTTCAAGGACTGCTCCTGACAGTAGAATTTTTGCTGTAGGGGTTCCAGCCAGACAGCAGGAAGAAGTGGTAGCACTGGAGGAGATGCACAAAGTGGGGCAAGGGGAGCTGTCATCACCCACCAAAAGTGAGATATTTCACTGGGTTAGTGGTACGAGGGATTGAATTGCCTGGGAAAGGGGCTGGGGTAAGAAAGCATAGCTGACATGAGGAAACCCAGACTAGGGGGGGACAGGTCTCGTATTCCTGGAAAATGCATCGATTAGCAACTACAAGAAACTGTAAACAAACTTGAGAGCCACAGTGGAGCAACAGCCTGTTTACATCCTTGGGGAAGCACTTGTCTGGCATCTTTCCTGTTCTCTGAGGCAATCTGCAGACAGTGTGAGCTAGCAAGAAGGGTGGTGGGCAAATGCTGGCTGTCAGAGGGAGCTGGGGCAGCCTGTCGAAGTCATGTGTAGGCTGGCATCAGCACAGAGGCTAGGGACAGGGGATGGGCTGATACAGAGTGTGGTGTGGTATGGTCAATAGTTTGTTGAATTTGTGTGGCTTATAAATCTTTGGCTGTCTCCTCTCAAGATCTGCTTGTCATGAACAGCAAAGAAAATCTGCACTGCTTTTGCTCTAGGGGGTTCAGAAAGGAGTGGGATTAGGAGTGAAATGTCCATCCTGCTTGACAATAAAATGGGGATACAGCCAGAAGACGTGGTATCCACATTGTTCCTTACTGTGATCTTGGACAATAATATTGTCTGCTGCAACAACTATAATTTGTTCTCCAGATCCATGGTGAGCAGATAAATTAGTAACAGAGGAAGGAAATTCAGGTTAGATAGTAAAAGAACAAACAAAATAAGCGTGACAACTAGCCAGTAGTGAGGCCATGCAGTGGGCTGCCACGGGAAGGTTGTGGAATGTCCTCCATGAGATTTGCTTCAGAACAGATTAGGGGAAGGTCTGCTTGGAGTGACCTGGGAAGAGGGGGTCCTGCCTGCCTTCCAGCTCAGCTGCTCCATGTTGAATGTGTGGAGGCAAAAGACAGGCTGAGAACATCAGTGGCTGCATTAACTCATGGACTGTAACGGGGGTAGAATTCCCCCCATATAAACCTGTATATGTATTGCATCTCACACACTCCTGCTCATGGTATTCCCCACCAAGCCTCTGGCCTCAGCCTGAAGAGGATGGTGCTACAGACCACCACCATCTGTGCACTAGCCAGGCGGCCAGCTTGGCATATCAGCAGCTTATATTTCCCTGCCTGTGTTGTTGTGGGTGGGAGGGCTCATTCCTAGTGAAGGATACTGGCTGAGACCTCCTTTGCAGATTCTGGGGGCCCTGTAATGAATTTCTTTCCTTTTTCCTGTGTCTGTCTTCATATTCTTTGTCCTTATTCTGTTGTAGGAGATGGAAATTTTGGATATAACCAGCATCCGAGATACTAGAGTGGGGCGATTCGCCAAAATCCCCAAGGTGAGTGCATAGCTTCATCTTTGCCAGTTGTTCAGATGGGAAAGGCAAGGCTGCCTAGGGCTGTGGCACGAGCTGAGGCAGTTTACCCTGGCTTTGTTACGAGAAGGTGGAGAGGACCTTGTCTCCTTGCATCGCAACTGCATAAATACAGAAAAGCTGTCTTTACTCTTGTCTCTGAACTCCCTAGGTCTCCTCTGTGCACATCCAGACTACGGTATGTGAGCTTGTTGTAAAAAATATGCCAGAATGCTGGGAAAACAATTCCCCTTCTTGAGCGCCTGCCAAAAGACTTGTTTTCTGTTGTGGGCAGCAGCCGTGTTCTCTCCCCGGCCATGCCTCTGGCCAGCTTTAATCTTGGCCTGGCGTTTATGTTCACTGAGCTACACTGGGCAGTCCTGCAGGAGACTTGCGATGCTTCTGTTCTGAGTCACCGGAGCTTCACTCTTGTGCAAAGATGCACAGGCTGGGTCAAGGCAGCTACAGACCAGTCCAGTGAGATTCCAACGTGCTGTGTGGTGGAAGAAAATACAGTTTCAGAAAAAATATTGTTTCTCCCTCCCCCCCCCTTAAAATTACTTTTAAATTGTCTGCTTGCAGTGTGGCAGACTAAAGAAAGCACACATTATGGTTTTGTTCTTGGTTTCTGTTATAATTTAAGCTTCCTGTAGCGAAGTTGTCCTTGTTAGAACTTTTTTTCTGGTTCTGTTTTTTGTTTGTTTTTAACTTTTTCTATGTATGGAAAAGGCAAGCAGAAAATTGAAGTAAAGCTAGAATGCACAAAAGAAACAAGGGAGTAAAGCTAATGGCTCCATATGGGAACACGGGTGATTCTCAGTCTAATGCAAAAGGGGAGGATTTTGCAATATATGCTGAGATACTCAAGCAGCCTCTTTGCGTAAGTAGTACGACTGTTTTCTTAATACCACTCGAAAATGTCTGTTCAGAGCTCTCAGACTCTTTCTCAAAAGACCATAACAAGGTGGGTGCTAAAGGCACAGCAGAGCTCAAGAACAGTATCCATCTTAAATGATTTTTAAAAGTAATAATTCCTTCTGAGAAACTTCTTGAAAATTCACTAGAATGAAATGTGTGTGAGTTTTCAGCAAGCCTGAAACTACACAAGGTGGGTGCTAAAGGCACAGCAGAGCTCAAGAACAGTATCCATCTTAAATGATTTTTAAAAGTAATAGTTCCTTCTGAGAAACTGCATTTCTTCTTGAAAATTCACTAGAGTGAAATGTGTGTGAGTTTTCAGCAAGCCCGAAACTACATCTGTAACTTGTTTTGTGAGAATAATGTTTGGGGGGAAAAAAGCTCTCGGAAGTGGGTTGTTTTTATTTGGGAGAGTAAAACATTTGGAGCTGGTAGAGCTAGGTGCTACATTGCAGACAGAACGCAGTAAGAAAAAGGCCAGCTTAAAAGGAGAGGCATGAGGTACTATTTTTTAGGGTGTTAAACTTCAGGAATAACCTGTTTACAAAATGCAGTCAGTGTTGCTATAGATGATAAATTGATGGTATACTGAGGCCACAGGTGGGTGTCCTTCTGGTGGCAGCAGTCAGGCTGGAGAAAGTCCTAGCTTTTAGCCTTGAGCAGTTCTGTAAGAGGAATTCACAGTACAGTTTGGGTATGGCCACATTCCATATCCAGAGAAAAAACTAAATTAGCGTTTTTAAAAGAGATTTTTTTAAAATAAAAGCACAAAGAAGTTTGTGAAATTCATGAGTTGTATGAAGGTAGCAATAAATGAAAGAGAAGTGGGGAAACAGTGGCTGTGTTCCATAGTTGGCTCTAAATCCTTTCGATAAAATTGAAAAGTGGCCTGTGTGATTCCCATCGTAAGCAAAGGCTCTTAAAGAACAGAGTGAGAGGACATCTTTCCATGGGAAAAAGATACTGCTGGAGAATAAGAAAAAGGTCTCTTGAGAGAAGATGGAGAACCAGCAGATTCCTGCGAAGGTCAGTGCTTGGGCCTGTGACATCCTCTGTGTTCATATGTCATCTGCAAAAAAAGGTATATAGAGACAAGACAGAGCTTGCTAATGGTACCAAGTTATTTGGAGTAATAAAATGAGGGCTTTGTAGAAAGAACCTGGATTGCTGATTGGATGATCTAATAAGTGATAAAATTTAGTACAGATAAAAATCAAGCAGTGCACAGAGGAAAAAAAAATTGTCTTACCCTTCTGTAATAACAGGCTCTGAGTTGACTGTTGCCACTCAGAAACAAGATCATGAGTGTATAGTAAAACTGCAGAATATGAGGAGTTGGAAGGGACCTCGAAAGCTCATCCAGTCCAACCCCTGCCAGAGCAGGATCACCAAACCAGGTCACACAGGAACACGGCCAGGCGGGTATCAAAATATCAAGGCAGTGTTCAGTAAAGTTTGCTCAAAGAGGAAGTTGTGTGTTAGGAATTATAAGGAAAGAATTAGGGAATCGTGCCACTGTGTACACCCTGAATGCACTCCATTGAGTCAGGGAAGTGGAAAAGGTAGAGAAGTGGCAGCAGGATTAATACAGGAATGAAATGGCTGTCAGAAGAGCATCTGAGTAGGGAGGGACTGTAGTCTGGCAAAAACAAAAACAAAAAGAGGGGGATGTGGAGGAGTGTTGTGGAGCACTGTAAAATCGGGAGCTGAATGGAGAAGGTGAGCATGAAGCAGTTACTCAGTGTTTTTTCCAGTGTGAGCGCTACACATCGAGTGGAATTTTCCAAAGGCAGGTTCAGCACAAGCAGAAGGAGGTGCTGCTGTTTTGTGTGTCATGTCCCTGTGCTATGGGATGCCTCCCTGTGCAAGTCAGGAAAATGTAGATGACTTTATAAAGTCAGGCCAAGAAGGAAATGCCCTTTGAGGGTTGTTAAATGCAAGGTAGTGCCTCTGGTTAGGAACTTGCTGAATCATAAATTGCTGGAAGCTGCAGAAATATGTCAGGGAAGTATCATTGCATTTGCCCTGCTCTTGGACTTTTCCCCAGTCATCTGGATGGAGCTGTGGTGTGACCTGGTGTTGCTGTTGTATTTGAGCCGTTGTAATAGGCCAGAGACAGCTTTTTACAGTGCTGGGAACTGGCTACAGCTCATTTTGTACAAAGAAACGAAGGTCAAGCACCAAGTGATTTATCAAGTATTGTCTGATTTATTAAGTATTCTCAACAGTCAAAAATTATGAACCCGATGACGACCTCTGCTGTGAAAATCCCAAGTGCTTTTTGAATTCTGCATTTCACAGAAACACATTTAGAAGTCCTCTTTTATTTCAGGGAATTCTCTGGCATTTCTGTAACAATGTGTAGTAAAATGCACCAGGCTGGCTCCTTATCCACCTTTCTATCGTGGGATGACGGGAGGTTTTGTGGGCACCGAAATGGCCATTGAACCACAGTGGGGGGAGAGCTGTGCCATCCAGTCCTGGCAATGTCTTATTTACACATGGCTGTACTGTCCATAATGCTTCTGCAGTTGGCTTTCTCAAGAGCAGAATTTGCTCAAAGGAAGGCAGAAAGCAGTGAAAATTTCTTAATGTGAATCACCACACCCTTCACAGAGGGCAGCCACATCTGATATATCATTATGAAAATGTATAAGTATTAAAAACTGACATGACAAGGCAAACAAAGATCTATTAGAGGTGAAGGGTGGAAGAATGAAATGGGGTGCTGTCTGCCCTGCTACAAAACAGGGGCCTGGAACAGCTGTGGGATATAACTGCTGAAACCAGTACTTGTTTCATTGGCTACAAGTGGAGGAGTAGGGACTAATGGATGATATTTCAGATGTGGAGAACCAGATCACAGCTGTTGGACAAGATTTGGCTGGGACCAGTAAAAAAATCAAGCATCCTGTTCTCCTTTCCCCTTCTTGCCAGTGACACCAGAGCAAATCCACAGCCTCTCTAAAGCAAAGCTTGTGATCTGATTTTCATACCGAATTGTGGCTGCAGGAATTTCCAAGGAATGACAGTGCTTTATTGAGAGCATCCGTGCCATTTCTTTCCTCTGCAAGGTACTATGTGCTTTCTGGCTGTGGCTCAATTTGTGTGAGGGTGGAACATGTCCTGAGCTTTTCAGACCGATGTAGGTGAAATGAGTCTCCACACTAATGGGGGGTTGTACTGTGCATGTTGACTTACCCACTTTCAGTAACACTTTCCCACTGCTGCTAAGCAAGAGGCTTGGGGTTTTCCTCTGTAACCTTGCTATACACAGCAAGAAGAACAACGTCAAAGCACCCACGCAGAAAACCACTTCTGAAAAGATCTGCTGCCATTTGCACTCCCTCACCAGCACAAGTCACAGCGTTGTCCCTACGAGCTGGGAGAAAGGGACTGGTGGGACCCCCTTCCTGACACTGCAGAGTGTTTAGGCAGTAGAGAGCCAGCCTGTACTGCCCAGCACAGTAAGTGGGGCAGTGAAAAAGGGACAAGTCACTCAGGGCTAGCAGCAATAAGAGCCACCTCCAAATGAGAAGGGCCACTGCTGTTTGCCCCAGAAGGAAATGGGGCAATTTGGGGCAGCTCCTGGAACTGAACCTGCCCAAGGTGAGGGACAGCAACGTTCTCTTTGAGGAAGGCTTTCCCTCTCTTCCTGCTGCACTCCTCTGTCTTTGCCTCCTGGCGTTTTGGCACATAAGCATGCACGCAGCCCTCGAGTCCTCCCGTGACCTCTTCTAGGCACGTGGAGGTTTCCCCTTCTCTCACCCCCTTTGCTTTATTTTCTTTGAGAGCCACTCGGTGTTCTGCAGTGGATGGAAATTTTGGTTTTTTTGAGACAGGGCAGAATGAACTTTGGCGCAGGTTCAACAGTAATAAAGATAAGAATTAGCAGGGACTTTGAACATAAACAAGACAAGATAAAAAGCTATTGAATGTAGTTTAGCAGCATGCCGAAGCAGATCAAGATGTTATTTACAACACAATTCTGTGTTTTCCTTTCAGTAACAAGGAGCAATAACGGCTGCTCCATTCTGGTTTTTTTTTCCTGATGCACCAAGACCTCAGAACGCTGACAGAGAATGTAATAATTAGGATGAAAATGCATGATGTTTTAGACCAGGCTGCTGGGCTATTGGCTTCGTCTGGGGTTTTGTTTAGACATTTCAGCAGGCATTGGCTTTGAAACAAGCACAGTTTTTCACAGTTTCGTCCTCCACACGCATGTTGGTGTTATTGAACCCAGAGATGCAGGCTCTGAACTGCACAAGCACAAGGGGG